GAACCAAAAGGTGGCTGGTTAGATTCCCAGTGTAGGGCACATGCCTGGGTTGCAGTCCAGGTCCCCAGCAGGGGGCGCATGAAATACAAACACATATTTATATTTCTTTCCCTCTCTTTCTCCCTCTCTTCCCTGCTCTAAAAATAAATAAATATAATCTTTAAAAAAAAGGGGGGCCCCAAGATCTCCACAGGGGCAAATGGGTCTTAAATGCTTACTGTTAAGGGGAATCTCTCATCTATGTGTTGTGTGTGTATATGTGGGGGTGGAGGAAGTAGGTGGATGGGTGGGTTGGGGTGGGGGAAGGGCACTGGAGAGGTACAATGTCAAGGCCATAAACCCCAAGACATCACTTTTAGAAGAGACCCCCTCCTTCCATTCCTCTGGGTGGTGGCAGGGTCTAGCTTTCAGAGCAGTGGAAATAACCACACAGTCTCTATCGCTTTCCACCTCGAGCCTCTCCACTCTCCTCCAGACACATAAGGGTCTGTCTGGGCCCCAGCGGACTCTCCTCTTCCTTGAGAAATTCCTGAAAAATAAGGTAACTGTTCTGAGGCTACACATGGCACTATGGGCAGGATGTTCTCAAATAATTTCTTCTCGCGATGAAAGGCCAGAGCCTTCCAGCCTGTTGAGTTTGACAGACAATCTGTCTTCATTTCTGAATGTCCCCTAAGAAGAACAAATCTGTTACACTCTGGCCAACATATTTCTATGGAAATGAAATAATGAAATCTGACTAAAATGTCAAACTCTAATCTCTAACAAAGAACAGAGCAGACACAGTGAGAGAAGGAACACTTCGGAAATTTCCTTTGGCAGCTCACACCAAAAGCCGCCCCTCGTGCATTTCCACGGGAATCCCGATGCCCTCTGTATGTGAGATTCACAATGGAAAAGATCACCCAGGCCAGGAAAGAGACCGCACAGCGTGGCACAGTCCCCATTCACCCGCCTTCAATCCTGCTGAAGTGAGTATTTCAGAAAGGAAATAGAGCAGAGCCAAATTTCCCAGCCATGTGAACACTGAGAGGGGGAAGCTTTCAGACCCAAAGGATCCTAATCCCAGCTGTTGTCTGGCACCTGTTGCTGGGCCAGCCACTGACCTCTCCTCAGCATTGGGAGAACCTCCTCAGAGTACAGCATGGTCCCCAGAGAAGCTCCCTTCCTTCCCCAGAAGCACAGAAGTTCCTGCTGTCTGGGGAGTGGACTCAGTCTGAAACCAGACCTGAGGAGTCTGTGGTTTCCCTGTGTTGGGGGTGGGGTGTGTGTGTGTCGGGAAGAATGTATCTAATGTCTTGTGCTTTCAAGTGGGAGAGATAATAATAGAAAAAGCTAACATTTTTAAAAGAACTCCCTAAGCATCAGGTGCTGAGTTAAGCACTTTATGTGCATTTAAAAGATCTAATTCATATTATCCCGAATTTAACAAATGAGGAAAGTAGAGCTGGTTTCTCCTTAAAAAATCAAAATGCCCTTTCCAGGTAAACACAAGTGGACATGATCTTTTGAGCTCAGAATGCCTTCTATTATTACTTGAATAAAGCCTGGTTGAATACATTCCTTCTTGGAATGTGTCTTCTGTGGAAGTAGGACACAAAGGGATGGGGAGGTCAGCTTCTATGAGCCCCAAGGGCCTGATTCTGAAGGCAAATGCTACTGCGTCTGTGATGCTCAGACACAGGTCTGCACGGAGGCAGATTCTGATGGCCCCCCTTCCCATCCCTGATGGGCATAAGTGTTGGGAGGGGTCTCAGGGGTCCCAACCTTTCCCCTTCCGGAGGCTTTCAGCCTCTCCCCTTCCTGCCTGGCTGCTTCTTGGAGAGTGCTGTGGCTTGGATTGTCTATCTCCAAGGGGATGGGTGATTTATGTCCTTTTAGTCAGCAAACAGCTTTGTACAGAATGAATGCAACTTGCTGAATGTCACCAGGTGGGGGCAGGGGAGCTGTGTAGAATCCCAATGAAGCCTTCCAGGCCTGGGCAAGATGGCATTGGTGACTTTTGTTATTGTGTACTTTCTCTGGTGAGAGTAAAAAGTGGCATAGGATCCTGAAAGGTACCAGGACAGTTGGCTGGAGTAGCAGGGAAATGCCAAAACCCCCAGCATCTGGCTCCCCTGCTAGTGCTCGCCTCATCCTGCTGCTCCATCTTCTCCCGTCTTGCACTTGGCAGGAGACAAACCAGGTGGTCAGCAAACTGCGGACCTGGGGGAAGAGGGCTCCTTTCTGAGTGCTGAGGCTGAACATGCCAGGGCCTCGGAGCCCAGGGCCTGCATGGCTGCAGAATTAAGCACGAAGGTCCAAGGCAGTCACTGGGGTAGAAGTGGAGCTCAGCTCTGTACTCAGTCTTGCTCAAACCCACAATGCACGCTGGAGCTTGCTCGGCTCCCCTGCCTCCCTTTCCAGGCTTCTCCATTCTTCTCTCCAGTTGTCACCTGGGTCTGTAAGTTCCCTGAGGCCATGAGCCATTCCTCTTCCTCCATTCCACCCCTGCCTGGCCCCCCCCACCACCACATACACGCGTAGGACAGCCAGCTCAGCCCAGCCCCTTCTGACACAGGGTAGGCACTCAGTGTTTACTGAACGAATGATGAATGGTCACCCTGCTCTCCCATGAACTCTGGTTCCCCAGCACGACCCTGGAGCCTAAGGGATGCTCTGGCAGGATGACCAAGCATGGCCTCCACATTTAGGGCAAGTGATTCTGCACAATGCCACTGTGCTACAAACGCAATGATCTGTGGGAAAACTGATAGATTCATAGGAGTTGGAGAGACTTCTGTGATCATACAGCCCTGAGATCTCTCGCTTTTTACAGATGAGAAAACTGAGGCCTAGAGGTCAGGTGCTTTCCAAAAGCTACCCAGCATGTTAGAGCGGAGCCAGGTGCAGAGGTGGGCCCTTCCCCTCAGGCCCAGCCCTCACCATACTGCCTCCTCATCCCAGGCCTGAGCCTGCCTTGGCTGCCAGTCCAGTCCCCAGCCTCTGTCCCTTGCCAGCACAGGCTGTGCGGCTGGTCTGCATCTCCAGCCCACACACTCAGTCTCCCAGGGAAGAAGGCAATTAGCTTTCATTGTGCTGCTCTGCATGACCTGGCTGGAGAAAAATCATGTGTTCCCGGTGTTCTAGGTCAATGTGAGCCTGGCAGGTCAACAGTCTAGGGCTAGGTGACATGGGGACTGGGGCGGCAGACGAGAATAGAGCAGACAGTCAGGGCCTGTGAGTGAGGCAGTCTTCTCTGTCCTCAGAGCACAGAGACAAAGCAGGGTCACCCCGGGGGGTGCGGGGCAGTCTGAAAGAACAGAGCAACAGGGCACAACACAACCCCTCAGACACAACCCCTCACTCTCCTACAAAAGCCACTGAAAAAGCCCGAGAGATGATCCAGATGGAGAAAAGCCAGGGGGAGGAAGATGCTTGGAAAACTTGATCTTTCTCCCCTTTCTGTCATTTCCCCAGGGCACCAGCAGCAGGGCTGGTGGTAAGGGGAAAGCAGAGCCAGAGGCAGAGGGAGAAGAAAGGAGGCTGACAGGGAGGTGCTGCGCATTCAGCAATTTACTTTCCTTTGCAAAGCACTTAGAGCATCTCAACTATCAGATCTGAGAGGGACAGCAAATTGTCCAAAGCCACAGAGAGTCAGAGCTAGGAGCTGGATCCTGGGGATATCATGGCCCCTCAAATGGATCCAGGCGCCCACTCTCTGTACTCAGACAACCATCCTATCAATGTGGTTAGGAATGTGACAAGGATTCCAGAGGGCAACTGGTCTACCCCTCATAATCCAGCATCCCCACTCTGAAGGCACTTTAAAGTAAGCCCAGAGGGCAGTGGCTTGTCAGAAGACCAAGCACAAGACTGCTCCTTAAGCTAAGGTGGTGTCTGGGCCTCTACTCCAGGAACATCAGCAACACTGCCAGCCCGGTTGGGTGACTCCCCTGTTTCCAAACCCTGTGCCCCGTGTAGCAGGCCCTTGCTGCTCCAAGGGCCAGGACAAAAAGGAGAGGTTCTCCTAGGACCCCAGGGGAAATGGGTCTGCCGACTGTATCCAAGGAGTAATGGGGGAGGGGAGTGGGGTGACTCCCTACAGAATGGTGACCTTCAAGAACAACTGAGCCTAGGGACCAAGTGGAAGAGACAAGGAACACCTGGGGAGTGGCAGGAGCCTGGAGCTCACTTCCTGGGGCCTCGCCCTCTCTTTCCCCAGGGAGTGGTGCTCCAAGGCCCCGCCCCTCGGCCCCGCCCCTCAGCCCGGAGCACTGCCGCCTCTGCCTGCAGCTCCTGCCCGTTTGCACTCCCAAAGACGCTCACTAGCAAAGGCAGCCTTCTCACTCCACCCTCCCCCCATCTAGTTGACTTTAAAGCAATTTTCTTTGATTGTTGTGATTTGGGTGGTCAGTCTATCTTTGCGGACTCATACGATTTTCCTGTTTTAAAAACCCTCAATCTAACCCCTTCACTTTTCTGTCTCATGTTTGCCTCCTCTGATATGAAAACGATCCTGGGTGGGGAGCAGGCAGATGCTTGTTGGGGACCTGAGGGCTGGGCAGGTGGCAGGGAGAGGGTGGGCTGAGAAGCCTGTCCCCCAGGCAAGGGTGGCCCCAGCACAACAGTTCTCTTCTTTTCCAGGGTCGTTCTCTTGCCCCTGAAGGTGGCAGAGAGGGTGGCCTTCTTGTCTCCTTTGACCATTTCAGTACCAATGGCACCCTGCACACAATGTGTTCAATTAAAAAAAAAAAAACTTTCCAGGGGAAACAGGCTGGTCAAAATGTGGCGACTGGCTAAAGGCCATGGGGATTCTGGATCCTGGGACCAAACAAAGAAGCTTCTAGGACTGGGGAGAGGATTTCTGGGAAATGGCCAAGACTCCAGAGGCCCCTCTCTCTTCCCTGAGTCCTTCTGCAGCTGAGAACCCCGGCTCCTCCAGATACCTTGGGCACGTGAGGAGGAATGGAGGGAGGGGTAGGGAGCCTGGGGTGGGAACCCAGAGAGGGGGCACTCACTCCAGCACGTCGTGGTTGAACTGCTTCTTGCTGTTGCCCAGGAACTCTCCAATCATTTGCCTGCTGAGGCCTTTCCGCTGGAGCAGGAAATGGGCCACTCCGATAGGGGTGTCAGGGATGAAGCCGCGAGAGATCAGAAACTGGATGCCTTTGTCCGGGTTTCTGGGGAAGTGGGTGGGGGTGGGGAGAAGAGGAGAGAGTGAGTCAAGGCCATCCATGACTTCTTTCCCCGCCCTTCCGGCCCATGGAACCCATGAAGAGCCCAGGAGGTCCTTGGAAAGAATTCTCAGGAAATGCCAGAGTTCCTCCCGTTGCAGAGGGGCTCCCCATCACAAGCTCCTTTCACCAGAACCTCACTCTCCTGAACCTCCCCACACAGGAGTGAAGGTAGCATGCGGCAGGAGGGGGAAGGGGAGGTCGAGCCAAGTAACATGAATTCCAGAGCAGGTGAAGAGGTATATCTTTTCTCTTCCTGCCTTGCTCCCAACTAGATCATACTCTGAGGTCCCCAAGGCCTGTCAAGAGGTCCCCAAGGTCTTTTCTGTCTGTATCCTGTTGCCTATAGCCACCCTGAACTCTGGAGAGGATGAGACTGGGAAACAGAGGTGAGATCTCCCCCACACCCTTTCTTCTCCCTGTGGATGGTGAATACACAAGAATCCTGCTCTCCAGCATTTACTTTCTCAGGCTCGAGTCTCTATATGTGGGCGTGGGTGTGGGTGCTGTGTCTTAAGGCAATTGCGCCCACAGTGTAGCCTGCAAATCCATGCTTCTCCCTGAAAGTTTCTTTACTGGCCCAGGAGGAGATAAGTACAGAAAAAAGAGAGTAAGCATTTAGAAACTTTTATAGCAGAGTTCCCAACACCCTCCGCCTCACCCCCACACCCACCCCTGCAGCGGACTGGTACGAGTCCCCAGGTTGTTGGAAACCAGGCCTCGAGCAAAGCTCGACTGAGCTCTGCCTCTTGTCTGCACCCCACCCACCGCCCCAGCGGGCAAGCAAAGCTCCTCTGAGCTCCGACCCCCACCCCCCATCCATTTTCCACGAAACCGTTCTGTGGTGCCAAAAAGGTTGGGGACTGCTGTTTTATAGTACTCTGACATTTTCAGGACAATCAAGTGCGTGATTGTCTTTCTAGCTGTTCATCTTCATTGTATTTTACAAAAGTATTGGCCCACAATGTATTGGGTAAAAACCCAAATTGGTCCTTTGCTACAGACAGTTTGAGAACCACTGTCTTGAAGGACCCAAGTATCTGTGTGAGCGATTGTGTGCAGGCCAAAATGATGCCTGGATGTGTCAGGTGGGGGCTGTGCTCACCAGACAGCAGCCTGATATAAAAGAAAAAGCAATGGATTGGGAGTCTGACAGATCTGGCTCACGTAAGGTCTGCTGCTTACTAGCTATTTCACAGTGTGCAACTCACCTTACTAGTGTGAGCTTGTTCCCTTTCTATAAAATGGCATAACAACGCTATCTCTACTATTGTTGGGAAGACTGCAGATGTTTTATGGACAGTAGCTATTCTCCCTAGGATATATGCTTCTTGAAACGAGGCGATGTGTCTTACTCATCTTTATGGTCATGGTGCCCAGCACTCAATAAAGAATATGCATGTGGGCAGGAGGGACATTGTGTTGCCTGGCTCAGGGCTATGAAAGAAGGGCTGAGTGGAGGGCGGAGACCAGTGCCTCATATACTTGCAATTTCCGTGTGTGCACCCTCTGCTTGCCACCGGTTGTATACATTCTGGTTGCAAGGAAAGGTCCGGGTGGGGACTCTGACATTCATTTCTCTCCTTCCATTCTCCTGTTCTGTTTGTACTACCCCTCTGCTTGCTTCACACTCTCTTCCTGTCTCCCTCTCCCACTTTGTCCCATCCTGTTCTGCTTTCTACTTATACTCCTTCAACTAAGTCTCTTCTCTTACCCCCACCCAGTCCTGCATTCGCCTTTCCTCATGTTTTGCTTTGCCCACTGTCTGTTTCTCCTCTTCATCAACTCCATGGGATTGCTGTGTGTCCTTCATATCCTACTGGTTTCTGCTTAATCCTCATGTTACCTGTATACAGTATTATTTACCTAACACTGTATTTTCTTTTATAGTCTCTCACTTTTCAAAACCTAGCTTCATCGTAAGCAGTAATAGAGGTGGAAGCAGAGATTTGAAATGTTATTTTGTTCCTATTTTTTCTTAAAATAAATTAATAACAATTTAATATCCGTATCTGTAGCCCTGGTCAGGTGGCTCAGTCGGTTGGAGCATTGTCTTGTACCCCAAAAGGTTGCAGGTTCAACCCCAGGTCAGGGCACATACCTGTGTTGCAGATTATATCCCCAGTCCAGGCACTTAGGGGAGGCAACCGATCAATGTTTGTCTCTCACATCTATATCTCTCCTTCTGTCTCTAAGATTAATGAAAATATCCTTGGGTGAGGATTTAAAAAAAAAAATGTGTATTTGTACACAGCATCTCAAGGAGCAGGCATGGCACATACACCAGCTGGGTGGGCACTGGGATGATGCGCTAATTTACATGGCACCCTGCCAATCTATCAGTGCAGGTCCCGCCCCTCGTTTCCTGCGTCCAGGACCTCGCCAGGATGCATTGCCGCTCTGGGGCCAGAGCTCACTTACATGTTGAAAAGGTTGAGGCCAATGCGGTAGAGGCGTTTGCGTAGGGTGTCGGTGGAGAGCGTGGGCGACTTGCAGCTGGCCGGGTTCTCGCAGTGGTAGCGCGGCAGGCTCAAGATCATGGCCTGCAGGGCCTCCTTGGAGGCCGAGGCCGAGACTTCCGAGCCCGACTTGGCGGACTTGGTGGATGTGCTGCTGCTGCTCAGCTTCTCCAAGTTGTCGCCTGCCTCGGTCTCAGCCTCGGCCTCGGCCCCGGCCTGTTTCCCCACTTTTCCTGTCTCCTCCTCCTCCTCCTCCTCCTCCTCCTCCTCCTCTGCCTGCGCTGCCCGGGTCTCCTCCGACACCATATCCTTGTCCCCCGGCGGGTTGGTGCACAGGACCCCGTCGGCTCCTGCCTCAGCGCACGTGACCTCAGCGGGCGCTTCTCCCTGGCCCGCGGCTGGGGCCACTGGAGCCCCGGGCCCACCGGCCTCGTCCAGCTGGACTTGGCCAGCCACGGACTCTACCGGGGCCTGGGAAGTCTGCGCGCCCAGGCAGTTGGCCACTGATAGAGCAGTAGAGGAAGAGACGGAGATGTTCTGGTTGGCGATCTGCACAGTGACATCCCTGAAAGCCATCATCAGGGTGCTGCTGTGGCCCTGGGACAGGCCGGCAGCCTCCACAGCCTCTTCCCCGGGCCCTGGGCAGGCACTGTCCGGCTCCTGTATCTCCGCCCCCAAGCCAGGCGGCCCGGTGCCCGTGTGCAAGGCCTGGTGGATCTGGTAAGAGCCGCTCTCCTGCAGGGAGCACATGGTTTTGAGGCTCCAGGTGCTGAGGGCGTCATCGATGGACTTGGCCAGGGACTGTACCTGCTCGGTGAAGGAGTCCTCTAGCTCAGTGAGCGTGCCCGCGAAGGTGGGTGGCAGAGAGGGCGAGCGCACCAGCGGCAACCCCAGGAGGCCGTAGCCCTCCATGAACGCCTTTTCTGCCACCAGGCTCTCAGCATTGGGCCCACGAACCTTGCGCAGGGAGATACGACGCGGCAGGCGGCTTTCCAGGAGGGAGTTGCGGATCTTCTCAAAGTTCTTGCTGAGCTGGTACTGGCGGAAGGCGGTTTGGATGGTGCAAGCGGCGCGCCGGGATACCAGATGGCCCCCGTACTTGTGTTCTAGCATTTCAATCTGCAATATGGACACATGGACAGAGAGCAGAGAGTGCAGTTAGGGAAGGGGTGTTACAGCCTTTCTGAAAGGCGGTGCTGGTGGCTGCCAATCAAGACAGGGAATCACTGGCTAAACTTTGTAGGGACTCAGGAATGCACAGTTGAGGGGCACGGAGAGGCTCAAAACTAGTCTGAAAACTAGTATGTCATGGCAGGAGCTACCCAGTCTTTGGCAAGACCCCTAGAAGTGTAGGTTGTAGGAATGGATTCCAGGGCTTCTTGAGGTTACAGGGTCAGGAAGGGAGGCATTGCAGATTGCAGTAAGATATTGCTGGTTTGATGGTGACTTAAAAATGTTCCTATCAGAGATGCATATGGAGGTATGTATGAATGAAATGCATAATGTCTTGAATTTGTGTTAAAATACTCCATCGAAAAAGTGGAAGGGTTAGATGAAACAATATTAATAGAAATTGTTGGAGCTGGGTGATGGTTTAAGGCAGTTCATTACACTATTCTTTCTACTTCTGTGCACATTTAAAAATAATTTTAAAATTAAGCAGAAATGCTAAAAGTTGCTCCTAGTCCTGTTCACCTGCTTTCCCTCTCAGCATTCATGCCACTGCACTGGGGCATTCCCCTGGGCTTCATGTGGGGCGGGGTGGGGTTTGGTCACCTCTGTGTTCCCAGGACCCAGCCCAGGGGTCAGCACCTGGTAGGTGCTCAATGAATGTGAATTTAACAAAAAGGTTGATGGATGAATGATGGATGGCTATTTCAAGAGTGGTAGTCCCTCAGGCTACCATGGTTTATAATGCGAGTCACCTCTGTGTCAAAAATGGGAGCTGTACAACCGGGCCGGGCTCGGTGGGGCTGGCCGGTAGGGGCATGCCGCCTCCTCCGGGTAGATCTGAACCTAGGAAAACGTCTAACAAAGGGCCAATTTGTCTTCAAGGCCTTTACTTAACCTCTTCTTAGCTCTGTCTATGGCCTTTTCTACCGCTTAGGTTATGCTCTTACTTCTCTGTTATCAGAACCTCTCTGGAAAGAACTAGAAAGATGTTCCTCCTGAGATGTCAACAATCCATAACATTTAACCATGCCTCTTCCCTGAAATTTTTGCATTTAAATAAGGACAAGGGATACTATGTTAAGGGTGTGGACGAATGGTAGAATTGTGGGCTCCAATCAGCCCTTAGGGAAGTTTTGAAAGTGAGAAAGTGTTTCTGGGCCCCGAAATTATGTCCTGTTCACACCCATACTCTCCACTTACACACAGTGTCATTCCCGAGTGAAGAATCAGGATTGGTGGGTTGAGGTAAACAACTCAAGGCAAGAATAGCATCATCCTTCCCGCATTCCCCCAGGACCATGAGTGGTAGTGGGGAACGACAGAGAGAAAGGCCAAATTTAATTCCTCAATAGAAGGAACCATTCTACCCACTTTCTGCTTGACTCAACCCACCAGGGACTGCAGCTGGAGTGAGCGCCTCCCCGCAGCCCCAGCAGTCCCCTTTGTTCCCTCCCTGTGGGGACCAGCAGAAGACCTCTCCTACCCCAGGAGGCCTCACAGATAGAAGCCCAATCCCCAGGGACAATCCCAGGTAAAATGAATGTCCTCAATCCTGTCTTCAGGATTCTCTCCTAGTCTAACCATTCAGTGGCTTTACTCATCCTCAAACCTAGTGGCATTATGTTGTCTCTCTCCCCACATCCCAACCTCCTTTCTGAAGAAAGTTGGAAAACGTTGTATTAAGGTTTGGATGGCAAAAAACCCTTCCTATATGACTCCTCTCAGAAGTATTTGCATTTCACAAAGCAAAAGGCCTTAAGCAGAAGGCAGGAAGCTCTCGCTGTCCTTATGATGTTCATATTGTAGGGTCATTCAAGGTGCCCTGAAAAAAAGAATCATACTAAGGGTATGTTATCTATTGCTACATAGCAAGTTACCACAAACTTAGCAGCTTACGACACCCATTTATCTTCTCACAGTTCTGTATGTCATTAGCCTGGGCACAGTTCAACAGGGTTTTCTCCTTGGGATCTCACCAGGCTGAAACCACGGTGTCAGTCTCGCATAAGGCTCAGAGTCCTCTTTCATGCTCACTGTTGTTGGCAATTCCTCGACATTGTAAGACTGAGGCCTCAGTTACTAGAGGCTGCCCACGGTTCTCAGCCACAAGGGGCCCTCTTCACAACAGGGTTGTCTGCTCCTCCAAAGCCGACAGGAGACAGTCTTTCTGATGCTTCACCTTGTTTTAAGGTGAACTGGGCATCAGTGGATTGGTAACCTAATCACAGCAGTGATCTCTCTCCATATTCTCTAGCCCTGCCCACACTGGGGGGTGAGGGGGTGTTATGCATGATGTGTACACAAGAGGGCAGGAGTCTCAGGAGCCCTCTCAGAATTCTGCCACCATACCAACTGGACAGTTGCCTACTGGGTCTTTATCTAAGTATGACCTCATGTACTCAGGAGATCCAGAGACACATCTGCTTTCCAGGCATTCTGTTCCTGTTTTTGCAGAAATCATGCCAGAAGAGAGAGAGCATTGTAGCTTAGCTGTTCTCCCTGGAAAACTCTGGCAGGTTCCCTGAGGCCTAGAATGTAGATTGGTCTTGGCTCAGGCAGGAAAGCCCTCCAAGGGGAAATACAGAGTGGGGGCAACTGACCACTTACTGGCTCCCTTCTCTCTCAATTTCTGTCTCCCTCCTACCCCTCCTGGGCACAAAGAGGAACTGACACCAGACAGGAATTCACATCTCTTTCCTACCTGATCTATTCATACCTTTAGGGAAACCCCACAACCAAGAACATTCTTTTCAGGTCATGAGAGCCTATTGGAAAAGGGAAAGTATGAAATCCCATTGCGTGAAATGTTTCCAGACCAGTAAAGAGGTCCATCCTCCTCACGTAGTATCGCCCTGCTTGGTGGCAGAGGCTGGCTGAGATAACCCCAGGAAACTTCTACCAGCCACTGTCCATGTGTCAGCCAAGAAAAGAAGAAAACCTGATTTTAAATTCTTAAATCTGTTCCATCAAGTCCTCCACTAGACTATAAACCCCATGGAGGCAGAGACTTTGCCTGCCATGTTCACTGTTTTATCCCCAATGCTTGGAAAGTGCCCGGGACATAGTAGGCCTTCACTAAATATTTTTTGATAAATTAAAGAATTAATTCCAAAGTTATCTTTGTGACCCTAAAAACCTTCCTAACCTGACCTGTAACTTTCCTTTCAGAGAGCTGATGATCTCACACTCTCTTGCCTCCTTTATAAGTTCACTTCATCCTCTAGTCTCTCTTTTACTTATATTTTCACCCCCTACCCTTCCACTGACCCTTTTCCATCTGCCTCCAGATTCTCCCAGATCTCCCTAGGCTAAACAAAACACAACTCCACTTGGCTCCCCCGCTCTGGGGCACTAGCCCAATCTCCTTCTATCTCCACTGAACCTCTTGGAGAACCAGTCTACACCCCCTGCCTCACTCCATGAGCAGATGCCAAATTGCTGTTCCAACTCTGTATGCCCAGCTCCTTGCCGCCAGCCCCCTGCCCCCACCAGTCTTCTAAAATGACTCTCAGGAAGGTCACCTATGATCTTTAATCGCTAAGCCTGCTGGCCCATCCTCAACCTTTCTCCTCTCTCTCTTCTGCAGCTCTTCATACTTTCACCATCCTGAAGCTCTGTCCTCGGCTGTCCTGTCTCCAAGAGCTCCTTGATTCTACTTTTTGACCACCAAATCCCTAAGCATGCTAGTTACAAGTCATATATGTGCTATCTTCTATTCTCCACATACATTTTAATTATTTTTCTATGTACTTCTGGACATTTTCCATGATTTCTGTATTGGAAGTCATTAGAGCAGCTCCTGGTAGCTAATTAACAAGTAATTAAGAGGGAAACTATCTCTGGCAGAGCCTTTATGGCAACTCTAAAAATGTCCTACAGCTTGTTATCTTCTTGCCTCTTGTCTGAGAACCTCATCTGCACTGTCATATCTTCACTTTACTTTAATAGGCTGAAGAGCAGGCCATAAGGGATATACCCAGCCCCTGACCCGCCTCTTTCCTGCTGGTTGACTTTGGACACATTTCTTAACTTCTCTATCTCTCAGTTTTCTTATCTGTTAAATAAGGCTAATCGTGCTGACTCTGTCACGTGTTGTGAGGCTTAAGTTATTTCATATACCACGTGGCCCATAGTAGGTGATCAATAAGTGGTAGCTATTTGATGACAATGATGATTATGAATGACTCTCAGATCTCCGTTCTTAGCCTTGATCCTGCATTTCCAACAGCCCATGGGTCCCCCATCCACCTATGCAAAGCCATCATCTTTCCCCACCTCACCCAAACAAGCTTTCAATGATTTCCTTATTTGCTTAACAGCACCTTGGCTGCATTGCCGTCCAGTCTGGAAACCTGTCATTTGTCCCTGGGTCCTCCTTTGCCCCATCCTCCACATATGTCAGCATCAAAGTCCTATAGCCATGCCCCCTCCAGTATCTTTTGCAATCATCCTGACCTTTCCACCAGACTTGCCACAGGTTGGGGGCTCTTTTTGACTCCCCACCTGGACCACACCAGCAACCTCCTTACTGCCTCTCTGCTTCCTTTTCACCCCCACCATCTACCTTATCCACTATTACCCTGACCAATGCTCTCAAAAAGCAGGTGTAAACACAGGCTTTCCATTGGTTGAGACCAGGGCCCCAAAGAAGTATAAATGTTTCCTCATGACATTTTGAAGCTGAGCAATCTGGTCCAGCCTACCTCCCAGCCTCTACTACACAAAGTCCATGAACACAGCAGTTCAACTCTGCTTGGCTCTCTCTCGCTCCGAGCATTTGCTCAGCCTGCAGTGTTCTCCCCTCCCTCAAATCCCACTCTTGTCCCCTTCCCTCCAGGTAAAACGTGTCTCCTTCCTTCAAGACCTGTCTCAAATGTGCCTTTTCCATGAAGCCTTCTCATTCCCCCAACAGACTGGATCACCCTGCTTGGGCCCCCATGGAGAAT